TTTGAACCTGTGAAACCAAAAAAAAAAAATTGTTTCTAAACTATAAAGATGGTACCAGCATAAAATTTACATTCTCATTCCAAAAGGAAAGAACTAGAAGGAAAGAAGTGGTGATAGGTATTGACAAAGTCCCAAACTGAGTAAGGCAAGTTCTATTAAGTCTTGAGGTTCAAGAATAATCCATGGGCTTGATATCCCACCTTCCAGGCCATGGCTCTCTAGGATGACCCTAACTCTTTAGTTCTGCAGGGAATTGCCTCACAACTTAAGGCAGGTACCTCATGACTCACTGGCTGTTATGCACCCCAAAGACTCTGCGTAGAAGACATCTGACCTATTGAAACCAAGGTGACAGACCTAATGATCTCTAAATAGCCTTCACTTTCACTTTTCCCTTTTCTGGTAAAATAGCACATTCATAGCCAAATAGCTCTATTGCATTGTCTTGTCAAATACAAAATGTGTGACAGTCTTTCTTCATTTCATCTCTGTCTCCATCCCCTTCAGTTCAAACCAGCAGTATTTCTGCTTATATAATCCTATAACTCTTCATCAAATGGTTGTTCAACTACAGTGTTTTTTTCAGAAATATATTTCTCACTTTTAAATATGGATAGGCTAAATATTTTCCAAATCTTCAAGTTCTAGTTCCATTTTGCTTAAAAATTCCTTCTTTTTTTGGAGAGGGTACTTGGGATTGAACTCAGGGCACTCAACCACTGAGCTACATCCCCAACTCTATTTTGTACTTTATTTAGAAACGTTCTTACTGAATTGCTTAGTGCTTGGCTGTGGCTGAGGCTGGCTCTGAATTTGCAATCCTCCTGCCTCGGCCTCCTGAGTTGCTGGGATTATAGGCATGTGCGACCATGCCTGGCTAATAATTCCTTCTTCAATTCACTTCTCCTTTCATATTTTACTATAAGAAATCAAGATTAAGCAACCTATTTCTTCATTACTTTAATAAGAAATCTCACATAAATGTTCAATTTTTATCAACATACCTTATAATACAAACAGAGATATGATAAATTGTGGTATAAAAGTGTATTAAGAATTGTAATGCAAAAAAAAAAAAAAGACAGCCCATGTATAATGACATAATTTGGCATGAACATACTTTATATACAGAGATATGAAAAATTGTGCTGTGAATGGATAATTATGATTGTAATGTATTCCTCTATTGTCATGTATGTAAGAAATAAAAAATTTAAAAAATGTTCAATTTTTTCACTCGCTAAGTTCTATCTTCCACAAAACACTAGAACATATCTCAGCTAGGTTCTTTGCTCTTTTTGTCAAAGGCTGCTTTTTATCTACAGTCCAATAACATGATCCTCATTTCCACTTCAGACCTCATCAGAATGGACTTTTTTGTTCATATTTCTACACGCACCTCAAAATTCTTCCAGTGCTTACTCATTATCTACTTCAAAAGTTACTTTTATGTGTTTAGATATTTGTTATAATAGTACCTTTTAGTACTCATTCTTGGCACTAAAAGGTGTCTTGGCTCACCCAGCCACAACACAATACCACAGAGTGGTTACATAAACAACAGAAATATTTTTTCTCCACAGTTTTGGAGGCTGGAAGTATAAGATAAAAGTGCCAGAAGGATTAGTTTCTAGGGTGGACTCTCCTCCTGGCTTGGAGATAGCCACCTTCACACTGTGTTTTAACATGGTAAGGAGAGAGAACAATATGCTCAGAGCTTCTTCTTAGAAGGGCACTAATTCTATCATGAAGGTTCCACCCTGGGGACCCTCATACTGGGGGTTAGGGCTTCAGCATATGAATTTGGGAGGGGCCATATTCATTATATAGCACAGAAGCTTAGCATGTCTTGAGTAACTTGACTGCTTGAGTAACATCTTTCCCCTGGAGGTTGGGAGAAGAGGACAGAAAAGAAAGAATTAATTAAAATTATTTGAGTTGGGATAGTGTACAAAAAGAATGTAAATTTTTTTGAAAGAGAGAAAGAGAGAGAAATTTTTAATATTTATTTTTCAGTTTTTGGTGGACACAACATCTTTATTTTATTTTTATGTGGTGCTGAGGATCGAACCCAGCACCACACGCATGCCAGGCAAGCGCGTTACCGCTTGAGCCACATCCCCAGCCCAAGAATGTAAATTTTCAGAGAGATTTTTCTTCCTGGGTTCCTAATTATCACCTCATTTAAGTAGTTCAAACAGCTATGTAATACTTCAAAACCTTTGAAGTAAAGAAAAAATGGAGAAAATTTTGATGAAAAACATTATGAGAAATACTGAAGAACCTTCAGAGAACTTTGAAGTAATTTTAAAAAACAGATCCAGATTAAACATCACTTGTTCTCTCTGAAAAAATACCCTATGACTGGGTCCACACTGTGAGATAAAGATCTAATAATTGGGACTGGGGAAGGAAAAGCATGAAACAGAATTATGGCAAGGTCAAGACAGAATTAACCACCCACTAGGAACTCTTTTTATTTCTAGACCTAAGTGTTTAACATGTTCTAAGATGATCAGAATAAAAGTCAGGTGTGGTAGCTCATGCCCATAATCCCTGGAAATGCCTGTAATCATAGGACACTGAGGCAGGAGGATAGAAAGTTTGACGCAAGTATGGAGAACTCAGCTAGATCCTATTTCAATATAATAAAAAAAAGGCAGGGATCTAGTTTAATGATAGAGCACTTGCCTAACATGTGCAAGGCCCCGGGTTCAATCCCTAGGACCACCAAACAAACCAACCAAACCAAACCAAATAAAAAAATTAAAAAAGCTAAATACGCTATAGCTTAAGTTCAAAATATACAGTGAGGTCACTCTGATAGGAAGAAAACAAGATGAGGAGGGCAGGTTAAATGATCTTTAATGGCCTTTCCAATACTAAATCCTCTGCCTCTTCTTCAAAAAAGTGGAAGTGCTTTCTGAAAATTATGTGCTGTTCTAGATGAAGATGTTGGCCCTGACTAAGGGAAAGAAGTACCAGCTTCAAAAGCCTAGAAAGAAGAAATGAAATGACTGAGTTGGCATCATTAATTCAAATGAACTTAGGCCACCTACAACTATAGTTAGGAAAAAGAAAAAAACAAGGGCTTCAGGGAGAAAATGGTAAAAGACTTCAGATAGTGCTGGAGGAAAAAACTAGCTATTCATTAAGAAGGAAGTCTTAATGCTTCTGCTGAGAAAAAGAAAAGGAATGAAAAGAGACCATTTTAGGGGATTGAAGGAAGGAAGCTTCAGGAAGAAAATAAATTCAAAGGCAAACAAACAAGAAAGAATTTAAAATAATAGCTGGAATTGAAAAAGACCTTCACAATTTAAAGATTTTGTCGACTTATTCACAGTCATTAACAGTACCTACCATATAATAAATGAACACCAAATACTTGTGGGGTAAAAAACAATGTTACTTAATTCCCACAACAATCTTGGGGCTGAAGAGTACAGAACCCAAGATTAATATGGTAAGATATCATACAGAGGTACAATCTTAAATATCCTAAAATCTAGAGTGTGGGAGACACAAGCTAGTTACAATTTAGAACAGGGATAACCTTTAGGTTTGTGAAGCCCATAAAATTGTGAATATTCTCCTTATATTTTTCTGGTGAGATGTTCAGAGCTTTTGGTAAGAATTTCAATGTGAGTTTATGAGGAATTGATGTATTATTAGGCTAAATATAGTGGGAATATGAGATTATATCAATATTTACATATAGATATAATCAGCTTAAACAATTCAAATAAAAATTAGTGCAAACACACTTTGCTAAGTTTTATATGTAGGTTATAAGTTTGTGTACATTTACATACTCTCTGAAATTACTATCCTTTGGATAGATATGACCTGTCTGATTACACAGCAAACACCTCAAAAACCCAGACTAAGGCTGCTACTTTGATATTCATTTTATAATGTATTTTCGCACCCCCTCAAGACAATTTTTATAAGTTCATTCGGGTTTCTAATGTTACCTAGCAAAATTATGAATACATCAAAGACATTTAACACTTTGTGGCTTAGATTTTCTTAATAAACGTTAAAGCACTTTCATTTTGAATATATTCACTAATTATTATCCTTTTAAACTGGAGAGTAGACAAAATATACTCTCAGAGAAGTTACACATTCTAATGGAAAAGAAAGACATACAGCATATAGATCTTATATAAATAACCTTTAAATGTTCTCAACCTGAAACTCCCTAAGTGAAAGCCAATAGGCACAAAAACTGAAACACTGAACAATGACCTCCTAATCACCCACTGAACCTCATATTACTTGATAATTAATTTTAAAACATTATTTTCTGTAATTATGAAAACAAACTCGGGAGCACTTATTGTGTGTTTTTTCCTTCTCTTAGCTGATATTTCACGCCTTTAAAACAGACAACTGAAAAACCACTAAAGGCATTACTTTGTTATTTTAAATCATTACTATTACAACACAAAACTAAACAAACCCTGACAAAGGAATCACATAGGCCCCCAAAGACGAAGAAGGAACTAAGAGGGGTAAGGAAAAACTAAAATAATAATAATAACCAAATAAGCTGAATTAGTGCAATTAAATTAAAAGCGCAGTCCTTGAACCGCTAAACACTCAGGGGCCTTTATTCACAGGGGAAAGAGGTTAATAGGAGGTAAAATGGGCCGGACAATACAACCAACTTGCCAATTGAAAAAAAAAAAAAAAATGCCTACACAATGAAAAATTAAAGAGGCACCCAGGTCAACGTCGTGTAAGGGACTGCGCGGATATCTTTGATGGGTCGGGAGGGAACAGGGTGATGCAAGAAACAGGGATAAAAAGGAGGCTGGAAGGACGGAGTGAGCGGCGGCAGGTGAGGGGAGCCGAGAACGAAAGCAGGCCGCGGCGCGCGGAGCGAGGCCCGGCGGGGCCGTGGGGCGGGCGGAGGGGGCTGGGAAGGCGCCCCTGCCCTCCGGGCCCCGCCCCGCCCCGGGGAGGCCCGACGCCCGCCCGCCCGCCCCACTTACCAGCGGCAGCAGGAAGCCCCACATCAAGGCGGCGGCGGAAGCGGGCAATCTCCACTGCGGGCCCATCGTACTGGTGGGCGCGCAGCCTCCGCGTCGCTCTGCGGGTGCCTCAGTGGCAGTGTTCTGCCCGGACCGCGGCTGCTGCCGGGGCCGCTACAGCAGCGCGGACTTCCTCTTCCGGCCCCGCCCGGGAGACGCGGAAAGCCCCGCGTGGGGCTCTGAGTCCCAGCGCCGGCCGGCCACGCTCTGCGGGTCTGGGCGTGCCAGTGTCCAGCTGTCTGACCATCACTCCCTCCAGACCCCGGGCAGGCCAGGGGACCTTCTCAAGCCCTTTCTCCTGGAAGTAACTGCCCAGGTCCTGGAGCCACAAATCTACGGGTCATCCTTAATTCATTAGCCCATCAGTAGTTTCTGGCCATTCTAACTCACACACATACCACCCAAACGTTCACTCACTCCCAAATGTTGCGACCACCTTATCCAAGCCACCAACGTTTGTCTTTTTCCAAACTGGTCTCAGCCAGCGTCCAGACAGCTCCTTACCCCGTGGTCCCAGAGTGATCTTTTTAAAAATATAAATCAGATCATGTCATTCTTCATCAGCTTGCATAAAATACAAACTCTAGTTTGGGCATGGTGGCTTGCACCTGCAGTCCATACATACTAATCTCCCAGCTATTCAAAAGATTGAGGGAGGAGGATCACTTGAGCCCACAACATAGTGAGTCCTCATCTCAAAAAAAAAAAAAGAAGCCTAGAAAGTCTAAATAATTTGGCCCTGGCCTTCCTCTCCGTTACCATCTTCACTATTTTCCTGTGCATTAAGAAGCATGGTCCTTCTTTGGTCTTTCCTTCCTTCCTTGATCCTTCTGGCCCTATCGCTAGTAGTCCTTTCTGCTAGAATGCCCTTCTCTCTAAAACTCACAATGTATGACTTGTTGGTATTCACTTAGCTTAAATGTCACTTCCCCAGAGGGAACTTCCTGACATACCCAATCTAAAGAAGCCTTTAGTTGCATTCATATCATGATTTATTTTAATTCTCTGCATAGTACTTTTCATTCTCTTACATATCTTTGTTTATCCATCCATGTATTTATTTATTATGTTGCATACCACTTGATAGCAACGAGTGTCCTTACTTTGCTGCTGTATGCCTTACACCTACAAAATCTGGCAAATAGTATATCCTCAAATATTTGTTGGATGACTATTTCATACCAAACACTGCCATCTCCCAGCATGAAGGACACAGATGTGTGAGCCAACACACTTCATAGTGACTCTTTTGTTTGTACAAGGTGCTAAGAAGTATTAAAAGGAGGTATAAATGGGGTGCCAGGAAAGATTCCAGCCTGAGCTGAGTCTAGAAGGGCGAGATAATTTTAGCAAGGCAAAGGGTAGAGGAAGGGGGGCACTTCCAGGAACAGTGAAGCGCTAGGGTTAAAGCCAAAAGTGGCATTGGAGGAACTACAAAATTTAAGCTTGGCTGAAGCTGTGACAGATGAAAGATGAAATGTGAGAAGAGGGCAAAAGCCAAATCACAGTAGACTGGGACTGCTTGGGACCTTAGGATTCATCCTATGAGTGGTAGAGAAAATGAATAGTAAATAGAGCAATGACACACAATTTCTGTTTTGGAAGCTCTCTGTGATTGTCAGGGTGGCAAATGGATTAAAACAAGGCAAGAAGTAGAAGCTGGGAGACCTGTTAGACAACTGTAGAAACTTAACCAAGGCAGCGCAGAGTGAGGATCTGATACAAGAGTATGGCAGAAGAAATGGGGAGGAGAAGATGGATCTGAAAGATCTGGGGCAGATTTTGGTAACTGAGAGGAGGTGGGATAAGAAAGAGGGATGATTCCCAGGATTCTTCCCTGGGCTATCTATTGAGATGGATTGGCACAAAAAGGGAGGGAATAGCTGAAGAAGGCAAAATACTTCTGGATGTGAGTTTGAAATACTTGTGTAATATTGAAGTGCAAATGTATGTAGGTTGATGGCTACTTGGGTTGGTCTGAATCTTAGTGTCATGGTAAAGCCAAGAACTTGGGAATCCTGCCTGTCAATCTGGACTCTTCATATGTTCTGACTTCCAATGTAAAACCAAGTTCCCCTTTTATAAAATGGTTTTGATGAACTGGATGACTTCATCTCTAAATATTCCCTTGAAATGTTTATTCTTGTAGCCCATTGCTTAGTAAGTCTCTAACATGACTCCTGGAGCTATCTGAAGATTTCTGGTTTTTCTGCTTACATTTTCCTTCACCTTTATTAGTAAAAATGTTGAACTTGCCTGTGTTACAGGCTAGTTCCATGTGCAGTCTCTCTTTACATAGGTTTTTTCATTTGAAAAATGTTGACACCAATATCTGTCCTACCTACCTCATTAGTTGTAAAAATGTCATGATGCCAGGCACAGTGAGTGGTGCATGCTTATAATCCCAGCCACTCAGCAAGACCCTGTCTCAAAATAGAAATAAATAATAAAATTAAAAAGAGCTGGGGATGTAGCCCAATGGCTATGCATCCCTGAGTTCAATCCCCAGTATGAATAAATAAATAAGTAAAAAAAATTCATAAATTATAAAATATGAATAAAGTTACTCTGAAAATTAAAAGAAAAAGGAGGAATGAGATAGAGAAGGAGAAGAAAAATAGAAGGCTGTGCTCAAAAGTGTTAGCACTGTTGTCATAATTCTTGTTATCAGAATGCTTTCTCCTTGGTCAAAGTCCCTGTGAAGGATGAAGTGAAGAATGAAAGAGTTAATGGAACACTAAAATGTCCTCATTCAATGATTTAACTTCTGGAAAGGCTACTAAGGTTTCTTTGTAGTACACATCTGTTACCCATCAATTTCCCTGCAAATATTAGAGAGGATGAAGAGTAACTGGATTTTTCTAGTAAATATTTTTCTTCTCTTCAGAAACTATAGAGTAAAATAATATCATTAGATTAAAGATCATTTTGAGCCAACATGGTGGTGTACACCTGTAATCCCAGCTACTCAGGAGGCTGAGGTAGGTAGATCACAAGTTTGAGGCCAGCCTCAGCAATTTAGTAAGACATTGTCTCAAAAATAAATAAATGAAAAGGGTGGGCTGGGGTTGTGGCTCAGCTGTAGAGCGCTCGCCTAGCACTTGCAAGTCCCTGGGTTCGATCCTCAGCACCACATAAAAAATAAATAAACAAAATAAAGGTATTGTGTACAACTAAAAATAAATAAATAAAAATGATTTCCTCTTAAAAAAAAAAAAAAGGGTAACGATGTAGCTCAGTGATAGAGCACCCCTGGGTTCAATCCCCAGTACCTCCAAAAAACAAAAATTAGGTGTTTTTTTTTTTTTTTAATTTTTGGTATTGGGGATTGAACCCAGGGGGAGCCTAACCACTGAGCCATATCCCTAGCTCCCCCCTTTTTTTTAGTAGTGGATGGACACAATATCTTCATTTTATTTATTTATTTTTATGTGGTACTGAGGATCGAATCGGCCACTGAGCCACAACCTCAGCCCCACAAAAAATTAATTTGATTTGTAAATATACTTAGTTAATAGAATTTCTTTTTCCAATGATAAAAAAGGATGTTATTTGTTGTCAGAAAATTTCTATTTTCTAGGAAATGAATAAGAAATATTGGCTTCATTTTACAAAAGAGGAAACTGCCAGGTTGACAGCCAAGGAGAAGGAGCTGAAACCTAGTACCCTGCTCTTCACACTAGATCATTCATACAACCTGTTGTTTGCTAGCACTGAACAGTGTTGTATTTTTAAATTTTTTTGTAGTTGTAGATGGACAGCATGCCTTTATTATATTATTTTTATGTGGTGTTAGGGATTAAACCCAGTGCCTCTCATGCACTAAGCAAGTATTCTGCCACTGAGCTGCAGCCCCAGTCCCCGAATAGTGTTTTTTACACAAGGAACACTAAAGAAGAGTGGTAGTAAGCCCCAAATAATTTCCTGGGCAAATGGATAATTACTTTAGTATAGAACAGTAATTCTCAATCTTGGCTACTTATTAGAATCATATAGGGAACTTAAAAGGATACTGATAGTCAGGTTTAGTCCTGCTAACCACCTCCCACCCCCAGATTCAGATCCTGAATTTAATTGGTCTGGATGTGGCCTATACATCAGGATTATTTCAAAGCTTTCTTTGATCATTCTAACACGCAACATTCTAAGAGAAACCGTCTTTTAGCCAAGAATTTTTAAAGTATGACCTCTGGACCAGGTCCCTGATAATGGTGTCAACATCACCTGGGAACTATAAGAAACATAAATTCTTGGGCTGGGTCCCAGACTCCCAGATCGCTGGGATTAGAGCCTAGCAATCTGTTTTAACAAGCCCTAAGTAATTTTAATGTACCCTAAAATTTGAGAACCTTTGGTTTACAGCATTTCCCTATAAGTCTGGCTATATATTAAAATAATCTGAAAAATTAAGATAAAAACAAACCCTATGCTCCAACATTAATGAAACTGGAAGTCAAAATAGATGAATTCATAATTATAGTTAAAGGATTCAACATCTCTCTAAAATTGAAAGAACAAATAGGCAGAAAATCATTAAGGATACAGAAGACTTGATCTAACTGGCATTTACAAAACATTTCACTCAACAACTGCATAATTATTTTATTTTTTACTTCTTAGTTGAAGATGGACACAATATCTTTATCTTATTTATTTCTTTTTATGTGGTGCTGAAGATAAAACTTAGTGCCTCACATGTGCCAGGCAAGCACTCTACCACTGAGCTACAATCCCAGCCCCAAAACACATAATTTTGAGTGTATGCAGGACCTTTATTTTAAAAAAAATGTTTTGTTTGGTGTGTATAGGAAGGACCTTTACTAAGTAAATTATTTAGCCATAAAACAAATCTTGATTAATTTAAGAGGGTTCAAATAATACAAAATATGTTTCTTAACTACAACAGAATTAAATTAGAAATCAGTAACAGAAAAGTAACTGGAAAATCTTCAATTAATTAGAAAGTATACACACATTTCTAAATAACACATGGGTCAAAGAAGAAATCACAGGGATTTAAGAAAATATTTTGAAGAAAATGTAAACATGACATATCAAAAACTACAGGAAACAACTAAAGTTAAAAAGTGCTTAAAAAGAAATGTGTAG